GTGTAAAACTCACAGAATCCTGAAATGCAAAATTAGGAAGATGATGTTTTTTAGGGGTTATTTGCTAAAATGTAACAAGTTGTGCCAATTCAGACTGCTTTAAAATGTTCTCCTTTTCCCATCAAACATTTCTATATTGGTAAATATTGTGATATAGTGTTCTGTCATCCATGCCCAGTATCACCTATATTTTTATTATAATTAAAATCTGTCTTAATTTCATGTCTCTTAAATAGGACTGCAGTAAAATGGTTGTTAGCTACTGTAGGGAACACTAGAGGTCACCCTATCCCCGTGTAAACATGTACGATCCATTAACTGGTGACTCCAGCTCTTCAAGCGTGATCATCTTTAAGGGTGCCGATGCCAAACGCTTGTTTTATCCATTTCTCATCCATCTGCTTGCATGTGCTTTAGCAACATGCGTCCAACAGCAGCATATAATGTGTTCATTGTAGGACACGCCCTCACCACGTCTGCTGTTCTCACTTACAGGCACAACTACAAAGACTACTCCATGGAGTCTCGCACACAGTTCAGGGTGCACGCTGCTCTTGCCAAACTCAAGGCTGATCCCGGTGAGGATGATGACACCCACCTCTAAGACTGCTCGGGCTCCTTCCGCTGGAGTCTCCGATTCCCCTCACAGTTACAGCTCCTTCAGTTTTTGACCAAAGTGCCTTTTTCAACAAGTGTACGCTGGGTATGGTATTGCTGTGGTCAGGTTTACCTTTGTGTGGTCATATGCACTCCACAATTTAAGCTGGACAAAGGTCTGTAGAATATTTGAGGCACAGCTGAGGGACCTTTAATTTCACCACCTTCCACAGGTTAACACACTCATAGGCCATGGTTTTATTGTTTACACTGATAAACACCAAATCTTAAGCAATTGGAAGCCACGAGAAATATTTAATAGAATTAAAACCTAATGAAATGCAATGAATTTATTTTACTGTTCTAAAAGAGCTCTGTGTAACATGCAGTAGTCACTCCTGTGACGTCTAAGTACTACGAACCCTAACACATTAAAATCTGATATTTGGCTTCTGAAAGTAATGTTTCTCCCAAATGTGGACTTTTTTTATTCTGCATTCCTACAGACACACAAACTTTAATTTACCCTCAAAGTTTTTATTTTTTCCCCACCAGTGAGTTTGGGTTGGTTACTTCATCGTCACCGATGAGAACTTGGACCTCACAGGGTTAGACGCTGCTACTGCCACAGGTTTGGTAGTGTATGAGGTGTTGAGATGGCTAGAGCATTTCATGTTTCAACATATTTTAGACAAAGATAACGAGCATGAAGGAGGACTGGCTCGTGTACGGGTGCAGCATAAGAGCACGGCAGAGCCGGTGAGGCTAAACTACGGCGTACTGCTGTCCACACTCAGCGCGTCGGTGTGCTCGAATGAATTGAGAGTGTAAAAATTATTTTTGTATAAATAAATTGTTCTTATGTTCTGCAATCATGAAAATTGCTGAACTTGGCCTCGTGTCATGCTTTAAACACACCCACACCACCTGTGCAGAGGTTGTATTTATTTGGAGCAGTCCTGAAAAACAAAGTTGGAATCGTCACATCTTCACAGAAGGACAAAACTTATTTTTAG